CATCCTTTCTGATATTCTTGTTGGTTTCAATTTGGATAATGAAACGACAAAAGAAAGGGAGGTCCAAAGATGTGGAGAAGGTACTGGAGATCGGGACTCATCAATTAGTTTCTTATCACGAGATTCAGCGAGCAACAAATAATTTTGATGATGAATCAAATTTATTTGGTGAGGGAAGCTCTGGCTCTGTGTACAAAGGCACATTATCTAGTGGAACTGCAGTGGCAATTAAGGTTCTAGATTTGGAAAATGAGCAAGTATGCAAGAGGTTTGATACCGAATGTGAAGTGATGAGAAATGTTAGACACAGAAATCTTGTTCCAGTGATTACTACATGTTCTAGTGACTATATAAGAGCCTTTGTTCTGCAATTTATGCCCAATGGAAGTCTTGAGAATTGGTTGTACAAAGAAGATCTCCACTTGAACCTTCATCAAAGAGTCACTGTAATGCTTGATGCAGCTATGGCAGTTGAATATCTACATCATGGTCATGTCATCCCAATAGTTCATTGTGACCTAAAGCCAGCCAACATTCTTTTGGATGAAGATATGGTGGCTCATGTTGGTGATTTTTGGAATCTCTAAAAATTTTTAGCAATAAGCAAGTCCATGGCTTATACCGAGACATTGGGCACTCCTGGATACATTGCACCAGGTATAAAAAATCTACTCTCTTTGATTTTCTCTTATCATAATTAAGCCTCTCCAAATTCTAAAAGTAAAAAGAGCAAGTCTTTATTTATGCAGAATTATTGTTGTATTTCAATTGAATAATTTTTTTTTCAAACCTTTTCTAAGAATATGGCTCGAAGGGAATAGTGTCTGCTAGTGGTGATGTTTATAGTTACGGCATCATGTTGATGGAGGTTTTGACAAGAAGAAGGCCAACAGATGAAGAGATATGCAATGAAAATCTTGACTTGAGGAAATGGATCACACAATCATTTTCAGGGACTATGATGGACGTTGTGGATACCAATCTTTTTTCCGAGGAAAAACAGATCACTTCAAAAAGTGAAATCTGCATTGCGTCCATGATAGAATTGGGTTTAGACTGCACAATGGAAATGCCAGGATCAAGAATAAGCATGAAAGAAGTAGTGAAGAGGCTTAACAAAATCAACAACACATTTCTGGAAACATAGAAGTGATCAGCATCTGTTCGGATGGTGTTGTTTTGTGAGCTGCAAGTTAATATGATGTTTTTTGTTTCTTTTGTAAAGTCGTCGTATAGTACTACTTGGAGTCATGTATTGTTTGTAATTTCATTTGAGTGATTTGAACCTATTTTACTTTATCTATTTGTAATTATGTTTTGAATGCTTGAAAGAAACCAGAATGAAATTAATAAAGGTGTTTAGCTGCACTATTTTGCTTTCTGTTCATTAGCTTCTTTATTTGTATTCAATACACTTCTTTTGATAAACTGAGCACTTTTCATTTTCTTGTACTAATTACTGTATTCTTTGAACTTCAGATGCAGAACAGAAAATGAGCTTGTTAAAAAAGGACACTATACAGAGGTACATCACTTGGACTCGATATCACAATTCACAAAACAGGATTTTAGGCATTATTTGTGCATGTTAGTCCATTGATTCTTCAATATTAGCCGATTGACTCCGTTCGCCCCCAAACTTGACCAGGCCGGATCCCACATGCCTAGTGATCAATACTTGTTGCATTTTCATTAATGACCCATCCTTTTTCAATATTTCAGTGTCACGAGATTGGAATTCAAGATTTTTAAGACTGATTTATGATAATTACTCATTACATTTTCATCAATGGCTTCGAAAGTTGGCTAGGATGGGCCTCACAAACCTGTTGACCAATAGAAATTTAAGATTTTAAGAGTTTTTCGTGTGTGTTAGTCCACAAATTTTTCAAAAATTAGTCGACCGACTCTTCTAGCCCCAAACTTGTCCAGACCGGGCCTCACAGTCCTGGTAACTAGTACTAATTGCATCTTCATTAATTATGTTTCTTTTTCATCGTTTTGGTGTCATGAAATAAGAATTCAAAATTTTATGTGTTTTTTTTTTGTGATCCACTGATATTTTGAAAAATAGTCAATCGACTTTGTTGGTACACAAATTTGGCCAGGTCAGGCCTTTTAGTCCTGATGAGCAGTACTTGTTGCAATTTTATTAATAACGTCTCTTTTTTTCCAGCTTTTTGATGTCATGAAATAGGAATTCAAGATTTTATGCATTTTTTTAATTGTGTTAGTTCACTGATTTTTTGAAAATTAGTTGACCGACTCCGTTAGCCCTTAAACTTGGACAGGTCGGGCCTCACAGGATTAGTGACCAGTATTTCATTGCATTTTCGTTAATGACATATCTTTTTTAATGTTTCGGTGTTATAAAATTCGAATTCAAGATTTTAATCATTTTTGTATGTGTTAGCCCACTGATTTTTCAGATATTAGTAGACTGACTACTTGGCCCAAACTTGGTAAGGTCGACCCTCAAAGGCCTAGTTACTAGTAGTCATTGCATTTTCATTAATGGCGTCTATTTATCACCGTTGTTGTGTCATGAAATAGAAATTTAAGATTTTAAGCATTTTTTATGTGTGTTAGTCCATTGATTTTTCAATAATTAGTCGCTTGACTCCGTTGGTCCCTAAGCTTATCCATGCCTAGTGACCTCTACTCGTTGCATTTTCATTAATGACATCTCTTTTCTTAGTGTTTTGATGTTATGAAATAAAAATTCAAAAGTTTAGCATTTTTGGTGTATATTAGTGCATTCGTTTTTCAAAAATTAGTTGACCGACTCTGTTGGCCCCCAAAACTTGGTCAAGCTGGGACCATAGGCCCTGCTAACCAATACTCATTGCAAATTCATTAGTTGCGTCTTTCTTTTGCAGAGTTTCAGTGTCACAAAATAAAAATTCAAGAATTTTAAATTTTTTTGTATCTGTTAATTCATTGATTTTTCCAATAATCAGTCAATTGACTATGTTGGCTCACAAACTAGGCCAGACCAAGTCTCACACGTGAGATGACCTATACTCAGTGTCACGAAATAGAAATTTAAGATTTAAAGTGTTTTCCTGTGTGTTATCATTAGTTTTCTAAAAATTACTCATTCTTCTCCGTTGCCCTTCAAACTTGGCCAAATCGAGCATCACAAGCCTAAAGACCAATAATTATTGCGTTTTCATCATCGACATCTCTTTTTTCAGTATTTTGGCATCCCCAAATAAAAATTCAAGATTTTAAATATTTTTTTTATATGTGTTTAAGTCTATTTTTGGTAAATTAGTCAAATTGACTTTTTGGTGGACGGACCTTTAAAGACCCTTTGAGCTATGCCAAGACATATTTTTCCGCCTAATTACGGTTGACATCGATGATTTTAATGATTTGATTATTAAATTCACAACGTCGTCATCGTCTATCCAACAAGAAGAAGACCAAATCTCATATTTCTCTCTCTAATCACAGAACTCATATAAAAATGGAGAAAATTGGGAAAAGATTTGAAGGGAAAGTGGTGATTGTAACAGCTTCTACACAAGGTATTGGATTTTGGCATAGCTCAGAGACTTGGATTTGAAGGTGCTTCTGTTGTTATCTCCTCTCGCAAACAGGTTTTTTGTCTTCACTCCAATTATTTTTTTAAAATTTGGGGTTTGTTTTTTTGGAAATTTGGATGATTCTTCAATTAAGTATTTCAGATTTTGCTTAAAGTTAATGTCGTTATCCCTTTTATCTGGTGTATATGCTAAAAGGGTTTGTTTCTTGCCAAAATTTGGGTGATTCTTCAAATGGGTAGTTGCAGATTTTGTTAAAGTTCATGTCTTCTCTTTCATCTGATTGTTTATGGTAACAAATGGGTTTGATGAACTGAAGAGCTTGAACTTTTTTAGAAATTTCACACACATACACATGATCCCTGTGAATGGAGAGTTGTTGGGCTAAATCAGCTCAAAGATACTCTTAATATGGTGTTATATTGTCCGTTTTAAGCCAAGCCCTCACGGTTTAACTCAAAAAAGTATAACGACGTTAAGAGATCCTACATCTTATATGAAGCTTCCCAATCTTTCAGCTACCAACGTGGTGCTTTTGTGTGATTTGGGAATTCCCCTTATTAGAATTTCACACACACACATACACATGATCCCTATGAATGGCAGATTGTTGGGCTAAATCAGCTCAAAGATACTCTTAACATAGTGTGATATTGTCCGTTTTAAGACAAGACCTCACGGTTTAACTCAAAAAGGTGTTACGTCGTTAAGAGATCCTACATCTTATATGTAGCTTCCCAATCTTTTCAACTGCCAACGTGTGACTTTGTAACCACAGAGGATGAACACATCTAACTCTGTGTGGATCCGGGTATTAACTTTAGTGCCTTAGGTGTTATGTTCAAATCGCTTATGTCCATGCCTTGGTGGGTAGTTACTAGTTTGGATTTCGGAATTAACTTTTAGTGCCTTAGGTCTCAGATTCAAATCGTATATGTCCAAGCCTTGGTGGGCAGTTACCTATGTTGGTGGGAGATAGTAAATTCCATGTGGAATTGATTGAGGTGTACACAGGCTGGCCTGGACACTAGAGTTATCGAAAAAAAGAATTTTCACCGACTTGAATTTCAGCAGATCAAAACTTTTTATAGTTACAAGTAATTTGTAACAAAAATTGTGTCAAAGAAATAGAAACAGTGTCACTATTTTTCTTGGACTTTTCTGTATTTGTGTATTGTTTATTCTCTTCATATTGAAGATTTGACTTTAGGTAGTGTCTATTTCATTTTACAGGAAAATGTAGATGAAGCAGTAAAGAAACTGAGAGATGGAGGAATTGAAGTATGTCATGTCTCAAATGCACAACAGAGGAAGAATTTGATAGACAAGACCATTCAGGTATGAATTGAAATGATTCTGTCGTAAGTTAACACTTCTTGGTCTGTGCTTGCATATCTCGGAGGTCAATTGCTATGTTGCTCGGACTCTTCAAAAATGTCGACGGGTGCGTGTCGGATCCTCCAAAGATAGTGTATTTTTGAAGGATCCGACACGGTGTGGCAACATTTTTGGAGAGTCTGAGCAACTTAGGTCAATTGTATGTTATTTTCTTGGGAAATGGTTTTTGATCCAACAAGTTATGTAAAGCTAGTTGGTTTTTCTGATGTCTAACTACGGAAAATGAGAAGTCAATGCTTACTACTTTGTATGATCCAACTTTGTTAATTGAAATTTGTAATTTTTCAGAAATATGGGAAACTAGACGTGGTTGTGTCAAATGCCGCTGTCAATCCTTCAGTAGATGCAATATTAGAAACTAAAGCATCAGTCCTTGACAAGCTGTGGGATATCAATGTCAAGGCCGCTATACTATTACTACAAGTAAGTTAATGATAAAAATTCACGACAACAACGTTGCAAATGCATGTGTTACTTCGTCAAGAATTTACTGAATACATTGAAAGGCAATGACTATTTGTTCTAGTATCACATATTTCCATATACTTCAAATTCTCGAATTCCTTTTCTTTTCCTTCATGTTCTGCTATTGCGCTCAATAATATCTTTATACTGTTTATAGGATGCAGCTCCTTACCTTAAGAAGGGTTCATCAGTTGTTCTGATTTCCTCAATTTCTGGTTACTCACCACCAGCTTCAATGGGTATGTATGGAGTAACTAAAACTGCGCTACTCGGACTTACCAAGGTACTAATGTTTAACTTGGCATCCATGGCACATGAGTAACTATTATATCCTATTAGTGCTTTCTTCTTATTGTCTTATTTGGAAAGCCAGGCTCTTGCAGCTGAAATGAGTCCAGATACTCGTGTAAACTGTGTAGCACCGGGTTTTGTACCTACACATTTTGCTGATTTCATCACGAGTAATGAACAAGTGGTAAGTTCTTATTAAATGAAATCTTACTCGTAGCAAAATCTTATAAATATTCGCTATTTACTTACTAACTAGTTGCTGATTGTGTTTAGAGGAGAGAGATTGAGGGTAAGACATTACTCAATAGGCTCGGAACAACACAAGATATGGCCGCTGCTGTTGCTTATTTGGCTTCTGATGATGCTTCTTATGTAACCGGAGAAACTCTGGTTGTTGCTGGAGGAATGCCTTCCAGACTTTAACTTCTCGATTGCAGTGTCTCTCCTTCTGGTTTTAGTAAGCTTGCATCAGCCTAGGACGGACATGCTTTTGATGTTATGCAAGTCCTGTGACCGATACCAAGGGGAAGCATGAATCAGACCAATAAGACACTGCTCTCTGCCTGTCGTTACAACAGCAGAAGCCCACACCGGAGTTTCATTACCTTATTCCTTACTTTTGTACAACTTCTTTCTTTTAGCTCTATTCACCTTGAGAGCAAATAGCTACAAGATGTTCAACTTTTATCTCAACTGATAGATAATAATCAACAGAAGTTTGGAAAGTGTGCTCTTGTTTATATTATTTTTTCCAATAGTTTTGTAAACGTCAGGTTGCAAGATGATAATAAGCACATATTACCATCTCGAAATTGCATCTATTAGGACCATAAATATCTAAACATTGGCCTGTTCACATGTATCCTTATTAGTTCATCACTTTATCCCAATGAGAAGTTTATGCAGTCTTACCCCTACGTTATAATAACGTGTAGGGAGGTTGTTTCTGATGGACCCTCGGCTCAAGTAGAAGAGAAAGTGAGAAATAAACTATGCATAAGAATAGTCTCAGCATTAACTAATACCAACATCACTAACACACACTATTCTTATACACTCTACCAAAACGGCTCCTAATTGTTCAACCTTGAACAGTAACAGTCTAAGGGCTCCCACTGTCCCACATGCCCTGGTAAATAATGGACTCTCTACCCTACTCCATTTAAATACCAAGATTTTAGGTCACTAACTCATGACATACACATCACGTATTGTTGCTCTTATCACTAAACAGAAGGCCCTCAGCAATGCAATTTAAACCCAGATTAATCTTTCTACTTTTCTACTTAGGAGTGCTTAAGCTTCATCAACTTCAAATATACACCAGTAAAAGAATTTGCCACTTTAGTAATACAGCCAAAATATCTGTGGGACAGGAATTTAAAAAGGATCTGAAACAGATATGGTTGACCGTTCATCTATGCATTTTTTTTTGTAGTATGTGTTAGTCGAGTGATTTTTGAGAAACTAGTATTTGAGTACGTGCATTGTACGTATATTCAAGTAAGGACTGATTCACGACACTTTCAATATTGAGCGTAAATCTATGTGTAAAAAATCACTAAATTGCAACAAATAGTCAATATGAACCATAGTCATTTAGTACAAAATTGAACACATAAAATATGATTTTAAGACATTAATAATAGAATCAACAGTGAGAAAAATATAGTATTAAATAAAACAGTGGCAGAACTAAGATTTTCACTAAAAGGGGTTCAAAATATGAAGAACTAAACAAACAAAGGTTCAACATCTATTATATATACATAAAAACTATTTAAACAATATGTATAAATAGTGTAATTTTCCATCAAAGATGATTTGAATGAACCCTCTCGGCCTTACCTGACTCCCCGATAAAACAGATGGGTCAAGAATGATCCTTTCAATTTCATCTCATATCAATTTCTGATAAGATTGTGCTTTGTAATAACAATAAATATAACTAAATAGATTCATTTTGTAATAAGGTTGGCTTGCATTTTTCCTTAAACTTTTGTGTAACCCATAAAATTATTGTGCCAGGTAACTCTTACAAATCTCTATTATGACTTCATTGCATTATACATTAGCTTCTAAATAACTTTAGGAAATGATTGTTCAAATACATTTTATACTGCAGCATATGAATCTGATCTATAATTATACATGAAAGGTAACTTTTCAAATTACTTATCCATTTTTTCAAATTAATTAAGGAAATCAATGCATTGATTTTGAAAGAATACATTATACCTCGTGAAAATTACAAAAATATACTACTTAAGACTTTTATTAACAAAATATCAATATATTTATATTTAATTACAAACTAAGTTTTTAAATTACATACATAACAAACATTTAATTTTTGTATTTAATTTAATTTTGTTTTACATATTTTTCTCTCTCATACTATTAGTATTTCGTGCCTTTTATATGGAGTATAATTAGGATATTAATAATTATCAAATATTCTCTCTCTTAAACAGTTTCAAACTCTTTTTATTTATAACAATAACATTTTAATTATAAATATGACAACTTATTAAATATATATATCTTCACACGTTTTTATACCTATTTTTGTGGCTTAGTGGCTTATTTTATGGAACTCATTATTTATTATTTTTACCATTTAGATTATCAATCATAATTATAATTGCATACATTTCTTTTACTTAAAGATTTTTTTTCTCTTTCTTACTTAATACAATTACTATGGTAAAAAATATTTTTCTCTCTTCAATTACGTCTTTTTAAAATTATCTTTTTTAGATTTTGATGCTAATTTTTAGGGAGTAAAAATGTATCATCTAATTAATATGATTTCTATCCTTAAGCACGTTTCTCATTAATTTCATACAATTACTATTGAATTTATTTTTTCTCTCTTTAATTTCATTTCAATTATTATGGGAAGATCTTTTTTTACTTCTCTCTTCAATTTTATATATGTTAGTTAAAAAGGGGTGGGGTGGGGGGTGAGTATATTAAATGGTATAGAATTTGTATTATATTGTTGACCATTTTTTTTGTAACTATAATAAATAACTTATACCAAAATATAATCAAATTTTATTCCTATTATAAACAATAGCATCGTTCAATAGTTTTAACTTTTTTTTAAAAAAGTATATTAAATAATGTACATTGTAGATTAAGTTTGGTGTACAATTATTTTTAATCACAATGAATAACTTACACCAACAAATAATTAAATTGCACATGAAGTAAAAATTCATGATTATAACATTAATTTTTGTTATATATTTCAACTATATGTTGCCTTACACCATAATATTATCAACTATCTATCAATATTTATCATCGAATTAATAAATAATTATACCAATATATATGAAAAAATCACTAGTATTAGTAAAAATTTCATTCATAAAAAAATAAAATTAATTACAAAGTATTGTATCTATTTGGTAAACGTCTTTTTGGTGTTTGTGTCATATATCACTCCTTCAATCTTGAAATCCACATAAATTCCTGCGATACATTTCGATAAATAGTTAGACACATACTAACCTACAAGAATGTATAACATCATATTACAACCACTTATTAATAATTTTTTTAATTACAAATTAATTAGAAATGGTATATAATATGGTGACGCTTTGTTGTACAGTATGGTAACGCTTTGGTGTATAATATGGTGATGTTTTGGTGTACAATTCAATCTAATATATAATATATGACGTACACCAATATATACACCACAAACTAACCAAAAAATTACCATTTTCAACTTAATTTTTAAAAAAATGTGCACATGATAGTTTAACATTGCTATCTTGAACAATATTGTACATTATGATTAAATTTTGGTGTATAGTGCACTATAATACGAAATACATAAACTAGACCAAGATATACACCATAATTTAACCCAGAATTTTTCAATCATTTTATATAATCAAATTAATTAAAATTTGTGTGTCAAATAACATACGAAGCATTCATTCAAGCAATATTTTTCATAGTTAACATATCTATTTACACAAAAAATCAAGCAAGAAAA